TGAAGCCGGGGGACACGCTCCATGTCAACTTCCACCTGCGGATGGACCCCGGCCAGGAGGCCAAGATCCGCTACTACACCTACCTGGTCCGTGGCTTCCTAGAGCCCCCAGATCCCCCTCTTCCTCGTTTCGCCAACACCCCTGGCGCCCTCCCCCTTCCCGGATCCGCCCCATCCTGGATCCGCCCCATCCTCCCTCACGCCTTCCCGATCCTTATGCCAACCATCCCCCCAGATCATGAACAAGGGGAAGCTGTTGAAGGTGGGACGCCAGGTGCGAGAGGCCGGCCAGGACCTGGTGGTGCTGCCCCTGACCATCACGACAGACTTTATTCCTTCCTTCCGCCTGGTGGCTTATTACACGCTGATTGGCAACAATGGCAAGAGGGAGGTAGTGGCCGATTCCGTGTGGGTGGACATCAAGGACTCGTGCGTGGGCACGGTAAGCTTCCCTGGGTCTCTCTGGGACTCAGTCCACCTTTGGGCTCGCTCCCTGACCATTGCTTTCTCTGTCTCTGAATCCATTTCTCGCCTCTGTTGGTAGAGTTCCTGCCTCTCACCTCCCTTTTCCACCTTGCTTTTGTCCCTCTCTGTTTTAGTCTCAGTATCTCTCCTGCTCTCAATTTTCTCTCTTTCCGTGACTTCCTGCCCAATACTGGTTCTGCGCGCCTCCCCTCTTCTCACTTTCTCTGCCTCCACCTTTCTCTCCTTCCAGACCAGTCCAGGACCCCCACTGTCCTTGGCTGACCAAGGCTGGGGCTTTGCCAGACTCACTTCTCTCTCATGTTCCTCCAACTTCCTCACAGCTGGTGGTGAAAGGTGGCGGGAAGGAGGAAAAGCAGCATCTACCTGGACAACAGATGTCCATCAAGATCGAGGGTAACCAGGGGGCCCGAGTGGGGCTGGTGGCCGTGGACAAAGGCGTGTTTGTGCTGAATAAGAAGAACAGGTTGACTCAGAGAAAGGTATATCCCCACCCTGCAGAGGTTGGGTGAAAGATGCCAGAGGCAAAGGGATGGCATTGTGTTGAGGTGGGAATGGCGCTGAGGAGAACCGCTGAGGTGGGGTTTGGTGGGGATGGAGTGTCGAGGTCAAAATGGACACAGACATGGGGATGGGTTGAAGTTCAGGTTGTAGATGGAAATGTGGATCGACAAGGGTCAAATCTGGGATGGTCATGACAATGGGCACAGCTCTGAGTCCAACAGCAGCACACTGGATTGTCCTTTGTGGGCGGCCTGGGGACTGGGATGAGGACGTAGGTGGTATTGGATGGATGTGTTGGCGAGTTGGTGCAGGCACTGGTGGCCTGGCCTCAGCCCTCCCTTGACGCCCTCCCATCCCACAGATCTGGGATGTAGTGGAGAATGAAGACATTGGCTGCACGCCGGGCAGTGGAAAGGACTATGCGGGAGTCTTCATGGATGCAGGGCTGAGTCTCAAGACCAGCAAAGGCCTGCAGACTGAACAGAGGGCAGGTGAGGAGGTGGCCAGTGGTCACCCAGGCAGCGACAACGTTGCCACCTCCCAGATGGGATCAGGGGGCCCTGGGTTCATGCCCTGCCTCCACCCCCATCCAGCAAATCACTCTCCTCTCCGAGCCTCAGCTTCTTTACCTGTTAAGTGAGAGCAATAACAC